TACTTTGGGACTCCTTTAAGGCATATTTAAGGGAAGTGCTTATCTCTGAAATAACAACTGGGGATTGACTGATTTGGGTTGAACAGGAGGCTGTGACAGCTAGAAACAGTATATCACCAGCCCTTCAGATTTTTCTAGGGAGGCCTGGAAGTCGGCCCAAGCAGCTCTAGATAGCATGGTGTCCTCTACTGCTTAACATAAAAGATTTTTTGCAAACTAGCATTTTATGAGGAAGGAGAGAGGGACAGGCCACCTGCTGTCTAAAATTGGCCTCTCACATGCCCCCTCCCGAGTCATAGGAGCTTTGCAAATTGCTAATGGTTAGTGGGTAGTAAACTCCCCAATGAGATCATGGATACTCTGTTGCCTATTATACAGACCTTTACAAACCTAAGCAGGCCTACACATTGGAAACCTTACACACTTATTTACAAGGTGTTACTCTGCCCAGTTTTTCTGCCATACATAGGCAGCAGTTAGCCACCCCCCTTACCATGGAAGAACTGCAGCAGGTGACCAGTTCCTTTCCCAACTATAAAGCTGTGAATTTAGAGTTGTCCCTGGTAACTGGGATGTCCAGTTCTTGGTAATGTCACTGTTGCACCATATTTTCTCCACTTGATGATGACTGTCTTCACTGTGTTCCATGGTATATCTAATGCCTTGAAAATTTCTTTCGTACCCTTCTCCTTTTTTTTTTTTTTATTTTGTCTTTTATTAAATTTTGTTCCATTAAATAAAATCCACATTATTTCCAACAATTCACAAATACATACATTCCACATAAAATTAGACCTATTCCTTCACCTCCCACCCTCATTCCACCTTTCCCCCAGTCCACATTCCATATTCTTTCCATGTCTTCCTGTATTTTTTTTTTCTGTCTATATCTATATCCCCCATTTCTCCTACCTCCTTCTCTCTCTTTCCTTCATCTGGAACCCCATAGTCTGATCAGTTAAACTCTCCCAACTCCTACTATCTTAAACTCCTACCACTTCCCAATATCTTTTAGATGATTTAAAGTCATACCATCTACTCCACACTTTCTCAAAATTTTCCTCTTTTTTTTTTCCATAACGGTTTATTTAGGAACAAGGAAACAGTACAAGTCAAAGTACAGCATTAAGGGTATATTGTATGTATCACAATGGTCAACGCGTACAGAAAGGCACACCACTAGATTAGCAATAAGATTAGTCCGAGGAAGCCTAGGAGAATGTGCATGGGAGAATGCTAATGATGGTGTGATTTGTGGGAGAGGAAAAAGAGTAGAACAAAGTTGGGGAATAGCAAATAAGGGGGGAAGGGGGAAGGATCACATGCTGGAGGTGACTAGGAGAGGGGTAGGGGCCAAAGGAAGGGGGGGTGAAGGAAAGGGAGGGGTAGGAGAGAGGGGGAGGATGAGGAGGGGGGAGGGAGAAAGAGTAAGCGGAGGGGATAGAGTGAAAAACAAACAAATCAAAAAGAAAAAAAAAGGGGGGGGGGAGAACAGGGAGGGGGGGCGGGTCTTAGGGAACAACCCAAGGGGGTCGGGACTGGGATCAGGTCATCAAGGGAATGACAAGAAGGAAAGTCGCATGTCCATTAACGAAAAATGAAGAGAAGATTGCTTTGCTCCCGGGGGGGGGGGGGGGCGGGGGAGTCAGGTGAATCAATCAGACAAGCAGGCGAGCAAAGGCTCCAAGATCAGGGTTAGAAAGGTTGGAAGCCCATAATGGAGTGATATTCGGGAGTCTTTTGAAACAGGATCCAACAGGCCCATGTGTGTGTGAGAATTTAGTCGGGTTGTCACGTGAGGATTCTATGAGTGTCAGGGCTCCCAGGTGTGACCAGAGATGTGTGTGACTGACGCAGGGAAAACGCAGATCTCAGATATGTTATAAACAATATAATTTATTAACACTAACAATACAAACAAACGCAGTGCAATACTAAAACATAATACAGTGCAAAACAAACCAAACCAAACCACCCACAGATAACAGTACATACAAGCAAGCGTCGTCAGGCAGGCCGGGTCAATAACAATAGGGCAGGTAGGTACAGGGGGAGCAAGCGGAGATTGGTCAGGGTCACAAGCCAGGGATCAGAACAGGTAGCAAGCAGCGTGGTACAGAGGGTCAGACAGAGGGATGGTCAGGAGCGAGCCGGGATCAGAGCAGGAGAAGTCAGCAGCGGTTCAGAAACAGGATGCAGGACAGAAACAGGATACAGGGCCCAGGACAAACACACACCAAGGCAGAGTCTGTGGGTCTGGCCATCCCTTAAATACCCCAGCATAATCAGTTACAGGTGTTAGCTGGCTGCAAAGTTGAGTCTCTGATTGCTGGGAACACCCGCTGGCCAGCCCTAGTACTGCATATCAAAAGGCAGGTGAGTCCCACCATAGCTGGCCAGTCCATTCCTGACAGTAACCCCCCCTCAAGGAGTGGCCTCAGGACGCTCCAAACGTCCTAGCTGGGAAAAATGTTCCACCGCCCGGGTCTGGTAACTGGCGGGATATCAAAGACTGGCACACCGGGCAGGACTCCGGGCAGCGGTACATCGGGCTGGACTCCGGGCAGAGGCACATCGGGCTGGACTCCGGGCAGAGGCACACCGGGCAGAGGCACATCGGGCAGAGGCACATCGGGCCGGACTCCGGGCAGAGGCACATCGGGCCGGACTCCGGGCAGAGGCACATCGGGCAGGGACTCCGGGCAGAGGCACATCGGGCAGGACTCCGGGCAGAGGCACATCGGGCAGGACCCCGGGCAGAGGCACATCGGGCAGGGACCCCGGGCAGAGGCACATCGGGCAGGACCCCGGGCAGAGGCACATCGGGCTACCAGGCAAAGCAGCAGGCAGCGGGCCACCAGGCGGAGCGACAGGCGCCGGGCCCCCGGGCGGGGCGCCGGGCCCCCGGGCGGGGCGACGGGGCCCCCGGGCGGGGCGCGACGGGCGCCGGGCCCCCGGGGGAGCGGCGGGCGCCGGACCCCCGGGCGGAACTACAGGTCTCGGGCCCCCAGGCGGGGCGACAGGCGTCGGACCCCCAGGCGGGGCGACAGGCGTCGGACCCCCAGGCGGGGCGACAGGCGTCGGACCCCCAGGCGGGGCGACAGGCGGTGTTCGGACCCCCAGGCGGGGCGACAGGCGTCGGACCCCCAGGCGGGGCGACAGGCGTCGGACCCCCAGGCGGGCCGACAGGCGTCGGACCCCCAGGCGGGGCGACAGGCGCCGGACCCCCAGGCGGGGGCGACAGGCGCCGGACCCCAGGCGGAGCGACAGGTCTCGGGCCCCCAGGCGGGGCGACAGGCATCGGGCCCCCAGGCGGGGCGACAGGCATCGGGCCCCCAGGCGGGGGGCGACAGGCATCGGGCCCCCAGGCGGGGCGACAGGCATCGGGCCCCCAGGCGGAGCTACAGGTCTCGGGCCCTCAGGCGGAGCGGCGGGCGCCGGACCCCCAGGCGGAGCGGCGGGCGCCGGACCCCCAGGCGGAGCTACAGGTCTCGGGCCCTCAGGCGGAGCGGCGGGCGCCGGACCCCCAGATGGAGCGACAGGTCTCGGGCCCTCAGGCGGAGCGACAGGTCTCGGGCCCCCAGACGAAGCGGCGGGCACCGAGTCGTCTGGCAAGACTGCGGGCACCGAGTCGTCTGGCAAGACTGCGGGCATCGAGTCGTCTGGCAAGACTGCGGGCATCGAGTCGTCTGGCAAGACTGCGGGCACCGAGTCAACTGGCGGAACAGCGGGGCACCGAGTCATCTGGCAAGACTGCGGGTTACCGAGTCGTCTGGCAAGACTGCGGGCACAGAGTCGTCTGGCAAGACTGCGGGCACCGAGTCGTCTGGCAAGACTGCGGGCATCGAGTCGTCTGGCAAGACTGCGGGCATCGAGTCGTCTGGCAAGACTGCGGGCATCGAGTCGTCTGGCAAGACTGCGGGCACCGAGTCAACTGGCGGAACAGCGGGCACCGAGTCATCTGGCAAGACTGCGGGCACCGAGTCGTCTGGCAAGACTGCGGGCACAGAGTCGTCTGGCAAGACTGCGGGCACCGAGTCGTCTGGCAAGACTGCAGGCACCGAGTCGTCTGGCAAGACTGCGGGCACCGAGTCGTCTGGCAAGACTGCGGGCACCGAGTCGTCTGGCAAGACTGCGGGCACCGAGTCAACTGGCAAGACTGCGGGCATCGAGTCAACTGGCAAGACTGCGGGCATCGAGTCAACTGGCAAGACTGCGGGCATCGAGTCAACTGGCGGAACAGCGGGCACCGAGTCGTCTGGCAAGACTGCGGGCACCGAGTCGTCTGGCAAGACTGCGGGCACCGAGTCGTCTGGCAAGACTGCGGGCACCGAGTCGTCTGGCAAGACTGCGGGCACCGAGTCGTCTGGAAGACTGCGGGCACCGAGTCAACTGGCGGGACTGCGGGCACCGAGTCGTCTGGCAAGACTGCGGGCACCGAGTCGTCTGGCAAGACTGCGGGCACCGAGTCGTCTGGCAAGACTGCGGGCACCGAGTCGTCTGGCAAGACTGCGGGCACCGAGTCGTCTGGCAAGACTGCGGGCACCGAGTCGTCTGGCAAGACTGCGGGCACCGAGTCGTCTGGCAAGACTGCGGGCACCGAGTCGTCTGGCAAGACTGCGGGCACCGAGTCAACTGGCAAGACTGCGGGCATCGAGTCAACTGGCAAGACTGCGGGCATCGAGTCAACTGGCAAGACTGCGGGCATCGAGTCAACTGGCAAGACTGCGGGCATCGAGTCAACTGGCGGAACAGCGGGCACCGAGTCGTCTGGCAAGACTGCGGGCACCGAGTCGTCTGGCAAGACTGCGGGCACCGAGTCGTCTGGCAAGACTGCGGGCACCGAGTCCGTCTGGCAAGACTGCGGGCACCGAGTCGTCTGGCAAGACTGCGGGCACCGAGTCAACTGGCGGGACTGCGGGCACCGAGTCGTCTGGCAAGACTGCGGGCACCGAGTCGTCTGGCAAGACTGCGGGCACCGAGTCGTCTGGCAAGACTGCGGGCACCGAGTCGTCTGGCAAGACTGCGGGGCACCGAGTCGTCTGGCAAGACTGCGGGCACCGAGTCGTCTGGCAAGACTGCGGGCATCCCGAGTCGTCTGGCAAGACTGCGGGCACCGAGTCAACTGGCGGGACTGCGGGCACCGAGTCGTCTGGCAAGACTGCGGGCACCGAGTCGTCTGGCAAGACTGCGGGCACCGAGTCGTCTGGCAAGATGCGGGCACCGAGTCGTCTGGCAAGACTGCGGGCACCGAGTCGTCTGGCAAGACTGCGGGCACCGAGTCGTCTGGCAAGACTGCGGGCACCGAGTCGTCTGGCAGAACAGCGGGCACCGAGTCGTCTGGCAAGACAGTGGGCTCCGAGTCAACAGGCACGACAGTGGGCACCGGGTCATCAGGTATCGGATTGTCTGGCTCGACAGCGGGCATCGGGTCACCAGGTATGACAGCGGGCACTGGGTCACCAGGCATCAGGTCATTTGGCTTGCCAGCGGGCACCGCGTCATCTGGCAAGGCAGTGGGCACCGGGTCACCAGGTATGACAGCGGGCTCTGAGTCAATTGGCACGACAGCGGGCACTGGATCAGGTACCGGATCATCTGGATCAACAGCGGGCATCGAGTCAACTGGCCTAATAGGATCGTCGGGCTGGATCAGTTCATCATGCTGAGTAGCGGCATCAGGCTGAATGCAGGCATCAGGCTGAGGAGAGGCTTCAGGCTGAGGAGAGGCTTCAGGCTGAGTCACGGAAGGCAGGTTCACCGGTTTGGATACTGGCAGGATGGTATTGGTTGGAAAGAATTTTCGCTTTTTTCTGGTTTTAACTACTGGAGCACTGCAAGTAAACGCAGGTCTGCAAACGAATGGAGCAGCTGGAGACAGAGAAAAACTGGAGGATGGAACAGGAGAGGGAACAGTTGCTACAGAGGGCTTTTTTACAGGGTTAAAGGCAGGATAGGTGCAGCGAGTGGGAACAGGGTACTGACATGCGGTAGATAGCCAAGTATACTGGGCTGTAACTGGAGGAGCTGGTGGGAATACAGGAGTAGAGTTAGAAGCAGGACTGGGTTTTTGTAAGCTGACTGAGGCTGGGGTGCAACAAGTCTGTCCATGTCTGCAGTATGGGTTGAACAAAGCTGAGCTTACACAAAGCCTGTCTGGTCAATGACTGCACTGCGTTTATACAATCTCTTAGTGTCTGTGGTGAACATGTGGAATAACGCTCCAGAAAGTAACCCACATCATCCTCTAATAACCACACCAGGGACTCAACCTGGTCTGCACTAAATGGTGGCAAAAATTCATTCCTGCATTCGGGGGAACCAGATGAAACCAACTCAACACAAACCTGAATCAATGGTTGCACCATAGAGAAATCTGTGCCCTGATCTACTAGAACATGAGCGAGCCGTATACATTCTAGCAGTTCATCCCGGGGATACTCCTTCAGAGTCTGATAAGCATACTCTCTGTCATCAAGCACTAGCAGAGATAAATACTCAACCTCATCCAGATCCATCCTTCCCATCAACAAGCCAAGATGGCTTCCCTGTGCAGCCACTTCTGGTCAGGATTGGCCTTGGTGTAATGTCAGGGCTCCCAGGTGTGACCAGAGATGTGTGACTGACGCAGGGAAACGCAGACCTCAGATATGTTATAAACAATATAATTTATTAACACTAACAATACAAACATAAACGCAGTGCAATACTAAAACATAATACAGTGCAAACAAACCAAACCAAACACCCACCACAGATAACAGTACATACAAGCAAGCGTCGTCAGGCAGGCCGGGTCAATAACAATAGGGCAGGTAGGTACAGGGGGAGCAAGCGGAGATTGGTCAGGGTCACAAGCCAGGGATCAGAACAGGTAGCAAGCAGCGTGGTACAGAGGGTCAGACAGAGGGATGGTCAGGAGCGAGCCGGGATCAGAGCAGGAGAAGTTAGCAGCGGTTCAGAAAACAGGATGCAGGACAGAAACAGGATACAGGGCCCAGGACAAACACACACCAAGGCAGAGTCTGTGGGTCTGGCCATCCCTTAAATACCCCAGCATAATCAGTTACAGGTGTTAGCTGGCTGCAAAGTTGAGTCTCTGATTGCTGGGAACACCCGCTGGCCAGCCCTAGTACTGCAGATCAAAAGGCAGGTGAGTCCCACCATAGCTGGCCAGTCCATTCCTGACAATGAGTTCCTCCATCTCTGCTACTCTATTCAGACGGAACAGCCAATCTCGAATCGATGGGGGTCGGGTAGCTGGTATGCTTAATTTGGCTGCATTTAACATATGCATTGCTAGCGACTTGAAGTAGAGGCGCCAATTTTTCCATTTTATCCCCTTCCATATGATATAACTCCTCCAACCCATATATGTATTTCGACTCTCTTTATCCAGTCCTTTTTTTGGGGGGGCTCTTGGGCTAACCACAATTTGGGAATAAGACCTTTGGTTGCACTAATTAGGTGATATAATACAGTATTTTTGTATTGTTTCACAGAAGTCTCGGTATTATAAAATACAGAAACCCACAGGTCCCTCTGTACGGTCATCCCCGTTATCTCCTGAATTTCTGAAGTTTAGGGCATTCCCACCATATATGTGCCATTGTTCCCTTATTCCCACACCCTCTTCAGCATAATGGTGTTCCTAGCTCCTTTTCCCATTTCTCTAAGAAAAAAGGAGGATCAGATCCCTCCAAATCAATAATGATCTTATAAATCCTGGAGGTAACATGTTTCTGAACTGTATTTGAGCTTAACATTTTTTCAAATGGATACATGTCCTCCAGCGTTCTAAGTGGTTGTGGGAGTGCTGCAACAAAATGCCCTAGTTTATAGTACCGCCATTCATCTAATGTGAAAAATATATATTTTTCTTTAGCTCTTGAAAAGTGTACAATTTCCCGTTATCTACTATATCCTTTAAATGTTCATTTCTATCTTTAATCCATTTCCCCGAAATATTATCTTTCTCTGGTGGAAAATACTCCGTTCCCACCAGAGGAATTAATACTGAGTTAACTTTCCAACCCATTTGCTTGTGCAGTGCATACCACACTCTTAGTACCTTCCGTGTCATGTGCTAGTGTTTCCGTCTAATATACGAAACCTACGGTATGTGGTATCCAAATAATCTTCTCTAATTGTGCCTTACTTAAAAAACCTTCCATATTTACCCAACATTTCCCTTGTGAGTTATGTGTCCAATCTATGATTCCTGATAGTATCACTGAGTAATAGTATTTCCTAAAATTAGGCAAGTTTAACCCCCCTATCCCTTTTTTATTACACAAGATATTTAATTCTTGGTTTATTATTTGCCCATATAGACCTGAATATAATTTGTTTTTTATTATCCAAAG